TTTTTCTCTAACCTACAGATTTTTGATTGTCATCATGGAAATTCATGCTTTTATTACATTTCTGATAAATTGTCAGCTGTTATTTGAAGCACATAATGAAATAATTGAAAATATCATTGAAGCTATGAATCAAAATCATGTTGCGATGAATTATTACGCTGATATGATTTATGCGACATTAAATGAAGAAGAACAAGAAGAAATGTTAGAATTAAGAACAAAGTATGACAACTATGTAACTACTTTTAACGAAAATTTAAAAAATGCACTTTTAACTAAATCGCGAAAATTTTTAAGAAAAATTTTGTTAGAATTCAATTATGCACATGAAGAAAATTTATGTTGACTAGTGAAACTTTACAGAATACAGTTTATCGTTAAATTTAGCATTCAATAGTTGGTCACATTTCCAGTTGTTTTTGTTTTTCTATGAAAAATTGCTAAATAAAAATTTAAAAAAAAAACAAATGACAACATATAAAATTACCAAGACAACGAGGGAAGACCGCGACCAATTAAACTCTGCAAAGAGTAGAGCAAGTTGCACATCAAAGTGCACATCAAGGTGCAGAGCAGAGTGTAGAGCAAGGTGCAGAGCAAAATGCAGAGCAGACTGCAGTACAGAGTGCAAAGCAGAGTGCAGAGCAGAGAGCAGAACAAATTGTAATAGTTTAATACCATTTTTTCCAGCACAGTCCAGTGCAGAGTGCAGAGCAAACACCAGAGGAGAGTCTAGAGCACAGCACAGACTGCACAGCACGATACAGAGCAGAGTGCAGAACATCTGATTGCTAAAGTAAGTTTAAAACTCATAAGTTTCATCATCTTATAGTACTTTAGTTCTAGAACATGACATTGCTCTAAGCTTAAAATTATGTTTAAAATGCTATAATGGTAGTGCAAAATTCACTACAGCTTGAAGTAAATTGACAGTTAGCTACAGTAGATCCTGCAAAACTATCATAGCACAATTAAAGGCTCTGACCAAAGTCACATAATTCATGACAAAGTTACAGCTCTGAAATAGCCTATTAGCTACAGTGAATTCTGCAACACTATCATTGCATTTTAAACACAATTTAAAGCTCTCAGCAAAGTCACTTCACAAGGCCAAATTAGCTTCAAACGGCAGTACTAAAATTAAATTTCCACTATATGTAGTGTAAAACGCAGGGTGCAAAGCACAGTCCACAACAGACTACAAACCAAAGAGCAGAGCAAACTGAACATCAGGGTTCACATCAACGTGCAGATCAAAGTGAAGAGCAGAGTGCAGAGCATAGTGGAGAGCAGAAAGCACAAGAAAGTGCACAACAAAACGCAGAGCATCTCGTCTAACTTGAAAGGTAAGTGTAGAATATAGTTAAAGCATTAATTTAAATTTTTGGAGATTTTCTTCTTTTTATAGTTCAATGTTGTCTCAATGTTGTTCAAACATTAAATTCTCTGTGACGTAATTGTCTGAATTAATTTCAGAGTGATAATTTCTGTATCTAATAATTCTAACAGAAAAACGTTGAAAAATTAAACCAGCATTGTGTAATAGTTAAATGTCATTTTTTCCAGCACAGTCCAGTGGAAAATATAGAGCAGAGACCAAAGCAGAGTGCAGAGCAGAACATAGAATGCAGAGCACGATATAGAGTAGACTGCAGAACATCTGATTGCAAAAGTAAGTTTAAAACTCATAAGTTTCATCATCTTATAGTAGTTTAGTTCTAGAACATGACATTGCTGTAAGCCTAAAATTTTGTTTAAAATGCTATGATAATGTTGCAAAAGTCAGTACAGCTTGAAGTAAATTCACAGTTAGCTACAATAGATCCTGCAAAACTGTCATAACACAATTTAAACAAACATTGTGTAATAGTTTAATGCCATTTTTCCTAGCAAAGTGCAGTATAGAGTGCAGACCAGAGAGAAGAACAGAGTGCAGAACAGAGCATAAAGTGCAGAGCAAGGTGCAGAGCAACGTTTCCTCGTCATTGGCTGTTTATCTACTGTCTACGTGATCAGATCATCAGCAGAAATCATCACATCTGATTTCAAAAGTAAGTGTAAAACTTAATACAACACACACTACAAATTGTTACATAAATTCACATGTATACACACAACAATACATTACACATTACATTT